TATACATATGCATAAAAACATCACAATTTTCGTTTCAGATTTGAAGATACCAGTAGCCAGTCACCATTCTTATTTGCCTGTGTCACTCAAAATTCAATTCATAATGACTTTTACTTCATAGATATCTGTAAGTTTGTAAGATACCTTACAAACTGAAAGCATTAGAAAAGACACTTTTTTCTTTTTTTTTAACAAAGAGGTTCTCAAATTATTCCAAATAAAACACCAAATTATTGCAGATTAAATAAATGGCATGGGGGGTGGTGCTGGGTGGTGCAGTCAGTTAAGTGGCTGATTCTTGGTTTTGACTCAGAAAGTGATTTCAGGGTTGTGAGATCCAGTCCTACGTCGGGTTCTGCATGCAGCTCGGAGTCTGCTTGAGACTCTCTCGCCCTCTCCCCTGCCCCTCCCCCCTGGATGTGTGCACTCACTGTCTCTCAAAATAAATAAATAAATCCTAGATAGATAGGTAGGTAGATAGATAGATAAATAAATAAATAAATGTGTTTTTAAATAAAACTTACTAATGAACATATTAAGATCTATATTTTGAAGATTGTCTATTTGCAAATAGACTGATCCATACTTGAGTGGATACAAACACTTGTTTCAACGAAGAAAGTTAACTGGGCAAAATAATTTCAGAATAGAAATAATATCTAAAGGCCAAAATGTAGTGCTCCAGTCAGTGCAAAATAGAACTATTGGTAAAAATGGTTTTCAGCGGCCTTAAGTTAGTCTGAAATCTTCAGGGAGTTAGTATTGCCCATTGGTGAAATGACTGGGTGCAGCCACTCTAGAAAATAGTATGGAGCTTCCTCAAAATGTAAAAATAGAACCACCCCATGGTCCAGCAATTATACTAATAGGTATTTACCCAAAGGATACAAAAATATTAATTCAAAGGGATACATATATCCTAATGTTTTTAACAGCATTATCTGTAAGAGCCAAATTATGGAAAAAGCACAAATGTCCATTGACTGATGAATGGATAAAGAAGATATGGGGTGGGTATATATATATATATATATATATATATATATATATATATATATATATGATGGAATATTATTCAGCCACAAAAAAGAATAAAATCTTGCCATTTGCAATGATGTAGATGGAGCTAGAGAGTTCTATGCTAAGTGAAATAAGTCAGAGAGAGACAAATGTCATACAATTTCACTCATCTGTGCAACTTAAGAAACAAAACAAACAAGCATAGGGAAAAAAAGAGAGAAAGACAAACCAAGAGACAGACTCACAACTACAGAGAACTGATGGTTACCAGAGGGGAGGCGGGTGGGGTTAATGGGTTAAATAAGTAATGGGGATTAAGGAGTATATTTGTTGGGATGAGCCCTGAAAGTGCTGAATATTGAAGTCTTGAATCACTAAATTGTACACCTAAAACAAATATTACACTATATGTTTACTAGAATTTAAATAAAAACTTAAAAAAATAAATCTAACTAAATGGACAGGAAAAAAAAGAAACAGGAAGGTGCTGAAATCTAAGAACCAACCCTGTGGTGGTTAACTGGACCAACATAATTAAATGTTTGGGTTCTCAATTCCCTCACCTATAAAATATTGTCTCTTTATCATAGAGATATTGAGAGGATTAAATGAGATAACCCATGACAAGAAATTGGTGGACACCACAGAGTAAACATTCAGTAAATGTTAGGTATGATGATAATGATGAAGAAGGAATGGTGATGATATTAATTCTCAAATGAGCATGTATCTACCTGTACCAATTCACTCATTACTATGTCTACATTTGTATTCATCTGAGCTTTACAAATAGTGTTATGAAGACAAATAGGAAAAGGTCCACTAATAAAATAAAACTAAAAAAAAAAAAGAAAAAGGTCCACGTTTCCTAATGAATAAATCCATGACAATTTCCTTTCTAAACTGTTCTGCTGATGACAAAAATCAGAGGAAGACACAAAGCTAGGATCCAGGATTGAGTTACAGTTGTCCTTTCAACCTCAGGCTGAGAATTTGTGTAGGTACTTTCAAAAACTGAAGGCAATAAGCCTATTAAACACAAAAGACAAAGGTTTTGTAATAAACACAAATTTAGAAGGGAAGGATTAGCTCATGAGTGACAAAGAGGAATAATTATTCTGTGTGGGATGGGGGTATAAAAGGATTACTACCCACTAGGCCAGCTCCAGAGAATAAATCTCAGAGTTTTCAGTAGCTGCAAGTCTGGTGAACCTGTAAATATTCACATAATATTTCTAAAGTTAAAGTTAAAACCCACTGTTATACAACAAAAGAATAAACAGCATCATGCCATGGTAGGTGTATCAATCAGAAAATAGTCAGAAAAATTGCTGGAAAAACAGAGTCCATAACAGGCCGTCAAAGAGAAGGAATTTAATATAGGGAACTAGTCATAAGGCTATTAGGAAAGCCAAAAAAACCAGAGAGGGAAGAATGAGGACACTTCCCCCTTCCCTGAAGCTTGAGGGACCACAGAGAAGGTACTCAGAAGCCAGAATCAAGGACTGTCTCACACTAGCTAGATCCACACAGAGGTACTGAACATGGAGATATACTGCCCAAAGCAAAAGAAGGGAAAGATATATCCTGGGTTTTCCCTTTCTATCTCTTCCCAACCAGACATTTAGCTGTCAGTTAACAAGGGAGCCTGGGAACATAGATGTCAAGAGATGGGCATGGAGTAGAACTGAAAGCAGACAATTGACCAGCACAACAGGTAAATGCCAAGGAAATCTACCAAATATAAAAAATGTACCACTCCTCTCAGTTAGGGTTAAAGGGGATCCTCAATACAAAACAGATGTCACCAATACTAGTTTTGATCAGGCTACCATTTGGAAATGTCATCAAATTAAGCCAAATGGCACTGCAAAGATTGAAAGACTGCCAATATAACCACATTTCTTTCAACATATGAGAAGACAAAAATGAAACCCCTTTTGGTAGCTCTTTTGCTCCTGGATTTCACATAAAGGTAAGAATTCAGAGGACACATTGGGAAATGTATACAGGATGGTTACCATTTTAATTTGGCTTGGATATCAAAAACTACACAAAAACCATCTAATCATTACCAGATTTCAGTTAAAAGGGTCACTGGAATATTGGAAAGCTAAAAGGATACATTCTGAGAATTAAGGACTGTCCCAAATACCATCCTGTCTTCACTTTTCTCTTTTCACTGCAAGATGTAAAAAGTTTGCAGGACCAGTCCAGAGTCAGATTCACATTAGACTATTTCCCTAGGAAGTCTTCAGAAGAAATGTGTGGGCTTATAAAACTGAGTAAGTTCTAGGGAGAGAAAAATCACACAATTGTAGACCAACTGAAATCATGTAACCTTGGACAATATAATCTCTGTGTCTCACTTTCCTTAGACTGTGAAGATCAGATTAGAACATCTCCCCCATCTTCAAGGTGAATGCAGGGATGTGACCAGTGACTTGCTCAACCCAAACTCTGGAAAGTGTGAGAAGAGAAATCAAAAACACTGATTAAAACCCAGTGTGCATTTTCAGGAGATGCAGGAAGTCAAAGAAAACTGGATATTCAAAGTAATCTCCCAAGACTGGAGCCACTGCCCCTCTTTCTGGGTTGCCTTTCTTCTTAGCTCACACTCACAAAGCAATATATCCTTCCAGAGTTAACAGAAACTAAACAAAGCTGATGCCAATGGAGGCAGAGCCATCACCTCAAGTTTTTTCCACCAACCAATCAATATAAAAAGAGGCACCATGGGACACCCGGGGGATGCAGTCAGTTAAGCATCCAGATTCTTGGTTTTGGCTCAGGTTGTGCTCTCAGGGTCATGAGATCAAACCTCACACTGGGCTCTGCACTCAGCATGAAATCTTAAGTTTCTCTCTCCCACTGCCTCTACCCCTTTCCTCAATGTGCGCACTCACTCTGTTTCTCTCTCTCTTTCTCTCTCTCTCTCAAATAAATAAATAAATAAATAAGAAAAAAGAGGCACTGTGATAAAATAATGCATAATGGAAGAATGTATTTTTCCCATTAATTTCTTTAATATTTTTATTGATAAGTGTCAATTTCTTACAAAGAAGTTGCGAAGACAAGATAAAAGGGAATATAACACTAAATTACCACCCATACTAAGTGTCTACAGAGAGCCAATAAAATGTGGGAGAAAATGTGACTATAAACCATTTATAATGTGCTTCTGCTACCGTCACTCCAGCCTGCCTAAGCGACCTTAAAAGTCTAAAAGAGAATTCGGACCAATAAAGCAAAAGACAAGACAGAGCTTATTTCCTGTTGGTCTTGAGGTAACAAATTCAAGTCCTACCCAGCTTTTAGAGTCTAAAGTTAGTGTTCTCACCATATGCTGCTTTAAATAGAAGCCCATGTAGTCACCTGTGTAAATGGCTTACCAACCCAAAATTCTTGCTTTTTTTACACACAGAAACATAACGGTGCTGTACTGGTTTAACTTGTTTGACCCGAACGCAGATTTTAATCATCCTGAGTAACAAGGTGAAAAAGTGATTATTTGCAGTATCAGTGCATTTTCAGATATACCAGTATATACACTCCTAGAGATCCTATGTGCCATACACACACACACACAGGCATGCACATATGCACAGACATGGGAACATACACACTTTCCTAGAACAGAAAGGACAGAGAGAAAATCTTTGGTTGAAGAATAAGAGGCAAAATCTATTCTAACGAATTGCCAGATTGACTTCGTTAGCTAGGCATGGAGGAGGGCTTTGAATGTGGAACTTGGGCATTTCCCTCTCACTGTTCCCCTCACGTAGCCCTGACTGGAGACTCAAGGTGAGAGAAGTCACCAAAGAGAAACTCCACAGCCTTTTGCCAAGGGGCCACCTTCAAGGTGAGAACAGGCAAGAGCCTGATACCCTCCACGTTTGCCCAGTGACCAGGTAACTGTACTTTGAAAGGCACTTCGGGGGAAAACAAGCATGACGAGATTCTTAAAAAGAGCATGTTACCTGATGTGGCTGTGAACTGGACCATCTGCTATAGGAAGGAGCCCCCGAAGACTTGCTGGCCGAGGGTCTCTGAAAAAGGGAAAGGGGGGGAGATTTCATGTTGTCACACAAACTGAATCACTTTCTATTTCTCTAAACAAATTATTTATTCAGTGTCTACAGCTCCAAAAATTAACGCAGTCTTAGACCATCTCAATTTACTCTCTGTTTCATTTCTTTTAAAACACATTCTCCTCAGTGAGTATAATAATACAAACACCAGAGCCAAAACATCTGGATCCAACTCACAGTGTGTACTTGTTGTTTGACCCGGTGCAAGTCATCCAGATTCTCTCTGTCTCCACTTTCTCTTCAGTGAGACTAGAATAATAATTTTTATGTCACGGGATTCTTGAGGGGATCAAATTTTGTATGGTAAGGTACTGTACACATAGAAGCTTTAATTCAACAAGCAGAAAATAAGGCACATTATTATAAGTTTCCACATGAAACCAAACTGGTATACAGATATCCACATTAATAAATGAGGTCATTTGAGTCTCTTAGTATAAAGAGACCGTTCATCTTGGCAAAGACCTGACCGTACCATTGTTACCAGTTCTCTGGGCTTGAAAAAATGCCATAAATTCACTGTAGATTATCTCATCCACAGCCATTCTTAACACCATTTGGCAGGGGGGTGGGGGTGGACTTCTACCAGAGAGGCTCAAAAAAACAAAACAAAACAAAATAAAACAAAACTGCATACGCACATCCTCGGCATTTCCTCCCTCCACTCCAATGAGACAAAATGTAATTTTGGAGGGGCAGGAGGTAACAGAGTTCTGGGAAACACTTTGCTTTTCTGGTAAAAGGGAAAAGATAATGCTTTGACCTTTACCACTACTTCTTCTTTCTCTCTAAATACAGATACAGTGCATGGAGCTGAAGCAACCATTCTGTGACCAAGAGGAAAAAAGGCCAAGAGAAGAACAGAGATGCTAACCCTAAATGGTCTTCTTATGCAGTTTAACCACAGCTTCAGGCTGCTACTCTTGCAGCCTGAACCTTCTTGGGTAATTGACTATACTCACATTTTCTACCCCTTGCAGAAAGTTGTGGATACTTCATGGCAGAGGCACGAAGATGTGGAAGTGATTGGCAGGTTTGGAGAATGACCAGTAGACCACTACAGTACTGCCAACTCCTATACTCCCCATCACGGCATTCCATCTGCCTTTCAGGACCCCTGTGCAATTCTGTGCTGGCCTTTGCTGTTCCTGACAGCTTTCCTGAATCTCTGCCACGGGAAGCTGGCATGCTAGCTAAGCACTGTGTTCTGCCTGCTCGATTCAACTCTCCTTTCACATCTGCCCGTTTGAGGAGGCAGACATGGGATCAGCTCCCCTGCCCCACTGAGGCTGATGGGATTGGACGCTATAGCACAATATAAGAAGCATTTCTGATTTCAACTTGGGTAAAGGGAGAACTATCAAGGAAGTAGCTGGAAATTAAACTAAAGCTTAATCATATTCCCTCAATGAGAAGCAGTAGCAATGAATTTCAAACATATCTAACTTTACCAGTGCATGGCCATGTACCTTCTCTTAATGCCATTTTCCTAATTGTGAAATAAGAATAATCTAGATGGTCCCCATGCTCTCTCCTTATCCAGCCCCAAATCTAGTCAATTAAATGATGCTATGCTTTACTGATTATAGTTGCAACACTGGACTTCCATGGAAAGATTCGATTCCTCTCAATGTTATGTGCCTAAAATACCAAAGAAACATCTGAAACCTCTGTTACCTAGAAAATGCTAGTGATCCAGAATTAGCCCATTGCCTGAATATTGTAGCAGATCCCAGCTTCTCTGCATTTTTAGGAAGGGGCCATTGGCTGATTTTCTACCCCAATGATCTGGGCTTCAGTAGAATCTCTTCAAGTCTCCTTAAATCATAACCTTTAGGAATTTACCATCAGATTAATTTTTGAGACATCATATGTTGAGAATGTAACTTATCATAGTTTCAAGACATAACAGAGGTTTCTAAAATTAAACCATAATTTTTATATTATTATCAGAAAAATAAAGTTTTATGGGTTTTTTTAATTGAGATATAATTGACAATATTATAGAAGTTTAAGACATCAGAGTTGATTTGATACATCTACATTTTGCAATATGGTTATCACCCTACTGCATATTGTACATTTTATATAAAACATGTATATTATATATAACATATATACCTCTTCTTTATCCACTCATTTGTTGACAGACCCTTAAGTTATTTCCATATCTTGGTTATTATATATAATGCTGCCAGAAACACCAAGTGCAGATATCTCTTTGATATCTTGTTTTCTTTTTTTTTAATATCATACAGTAGTTCTATTTTTTCCATTTTTTGAGGAACCTTCATACTGTTTTCCATAGTGACTGCACCAGGCCCACCAAGAGTGTGCACAAGGGTGCCCATTCCTCCACATCCCCATGAACACTTGTTATCTCTTCTTGAAAGCTTTGATTTTTTTTAATCAAAATAAAATGATGGTAATCAAATTCAAGACTTGAGCACTAACATTCAAAAAAATATTTTAAAGAAAAGTGAGATGTGTGACCTACAGCGTCTGAACCAAATTATTAAGGAACCTTGAAGCGGGAAGGACAGAAAATGGGTTTCTGTGGATTTTAATGCAATAAAAACCCAATGTGAAACACACAGCTCTCCCTTCTTGAAAGGTGTCAAGATACTTCCATGCCCACGCTTAACTTTCTCCTAAAGGTCACATTGCACTTCAGCACACAAGTATAATTAACTGTATAATGGTAATTGCAGTCCATTGTGATTCACACACTTCATGTCCTTTCTAGTGCTAAGGATAAATGTAAAAGGCCAGAGAAACAACAAAATAACTGGTCAATATTAATTACAATTTTAAAGACATGGCCATGTCCCAAATCGTAGCATAGCTTCTGATGGATGTGACTGTATTCAAAAATCAGTTTCATAGCACAAAACACAATATCTGGTTTGATATCTTTTTGAATAAACTAGCCATAAGGTGTGGTTTAGATTTCAGTCTGGACAAAAATAAACTCACAGATAAGTAATTGATCATATCCTCCATCTCCCCCTCTTAGTGCCCTTAGCAACCAGTGGTTAATCAAAGGGCAGTATCCAGATCAGAATAATGAGGCAAGCTGGTTTAAAATGCAAATTCATTGACCCCAGAAATTTACAAATCTCTGGAAGAGGGATCCAGCAATTTGCATTTTTAAGAGGTTCTTCAAGTGATTCGCATTTAATCTTGGAAGCAAGGAAACATCCCAGAATATTCCCAGCACACACTTCTACTGCTACATGAATCCACTGAATAAGGATGATGATGAGTAGAGGTATGAAGACCCAAGGATATTATTGATAGTAGTTTTCTCTAAACAGACAAAATGAACTCTCAAAGTCCAGAGAAATATCTCTGGAAATTGTGGGAAGATGCTTGAGGAAAAAGAATCTGATTTTTAATCTACTGATATAGATTGAACGTTGAACCACCACAGCCCAATTAAATGGCTGGGTAAGGGTTGCAGTTTAGATATACAACTCCTGTCCTTGGAAAACCTTCCCTGAATACCAAGAACTGGCTACTCTACTGATGTTTCCAGCACATCTGCACTTACATCTTAGCAAAACTTCTGTTACTCTCACTTGTAATTGCCTTCTAAATGCAGTTTCCTCTTGTAGAGTGTACATTCCACAAGGTTATAAGGGAGGACAGGAGAGAGTTGGGGCTGGGTCTTATTTACTCAAATAACTAGGCATGCTTGTACCAGGGATATACTAAGTGCTCAGTAAACATCAAATTAATTAATAGGTTTAGCAGGCTTGATCCTATTCAAGTTTAGCGAGTACGAACAGGGGACTACGACAATGGAACCAACATGCCTGAGGACAAATGCAGTAAAAACTGGTCAAATTCCAGAGCCTCAGTGGCTGCTATAATATCTTAGGAAGTCTGGCTCAGACTTCAGAATATTAGGGTAAGGAGTTCCCTAATGTGGCTTCATAGAAAATACCAACTGTTAAAGTCAATAGGGCAAGAAATCAGGGAAATGACAGACATCGCACAGAGGTAGAGAGCATTGGTGAACGGCTACATGTGATTCCATAGGAAATGTCTCCAGAAGGCTGTGAGGTAACTGCCAAAGGACTAGATGATCTACAAAAACAGAGAGAGGCTGGAATTCGAAGAAATATTGAGGCAAAAATACATACCCCAGTTTGCGTCTTCTCTCTCTCCCTTCCCCAGGCTGTGGGTCTCGAGCAGATCCAAGTTACTTACATCAGAGAAGGAAGCTCAGGAGGAGGAGGATGTAAAACTATTTAGTAACAAAAACATGCAGAGTGTGCTATTCAACAAAGGCAGGGAAGTACTATGCAGAAACCTGGAAGACAGACCAAATTCAATGGCAGCTCATAAGTGAGGAAGGCTGCCAGATGCTGCAGCGAGCCAGCCAGCCAGCCAGCCGCCCTACTTCGTCCACAACTGTCCTTTGCTTGGCCAGCTTCCTCCAAGTCTAATTGCCCATCAGCCTAAGACAAGGAACTTCGGGAATGTGTACATTTTTCAGTAGCTAGAGTTCTTCCTGTATTTGGCCTGGAGCATATTTGAAGAACGAGAAATGAAGAACCAATAAATAGTGTTAGAAGGTGCCAATTAGACATCTGCGTTTAACATCGTGGCACAAAAAGTCATTGACAAATACAATCCAGGAACCAACATGGGTTCAGACAGACTGAACTTTGGATGACAGACATGACTTTTGGGATTTTAATTTCAGATGGAAAACCATGTTTCCAACCCCAGTGAGATGAATCATGCAAGAAACAAGACCAAACAGCAAAGGACCTAGACAGCAGTAACACTCTTAATAAGTAAGGTAGGAAGAGATGACTCAAAAACCTTCCCAGGGCAAGAAACTTTGTAAAGAATAAGTGGTAAAGGCTCTACCCACATGTACCTTCATAAGGAGCTACAAAAAAAAAAAAAAAAAAAAGAAAGAAAGAAAAAGAAAAAAGAACCCA